GCGGTTCGTTCCGGGAGCGGAGGGGAGCGCCGGCCCCGGCCGAGGGGGGCTACGGGAGCGGTGGGAGGCATATTTATAGCGGGGATAACTTTCCGGTTCGTTTTTTCTTTTTTTTTTTTTTTTTTTTAATGCCATAATATAGATATTCGTCTTTAAAATAATGAAAGCCGTTTCAAAATTAGGCTGCGCTCATGCGCCGACCTCACCCATCAGTAAATAATTAATCTGATCTCAGGTTAGGACGTTAAAAGACCCCCGGGATCCCGCACCCCCTCCCTCTTTTTCTGATCAAAGAAATTAAAAATATGTTTAGCGTTGTCTTGATTTTTTATAAACTTTAGGGACACTGAGAAGAGCACCCAGTGTAGGTAGCCATCCTAGGAAACAGTGGCCGTTGTACTGGCTGAAGAAAAAGAGATGAGGTTTCTTACCCATTGCTGTTTTAGCCATGGTGGGATGTGCAGGCTCTCAGAGGCGGTGAAGGCAAAGGGGTCCAGCTACAGCAGTGGAGAGAGGGAGAGAAGACTGAATAAGGCACTGAGTCAGCAGAGTGGGGCTGTGCAAGAGAAGGAGCAAGAGGCAGGAGCCCATGAATAATTATCACTCCTCTACCCAAGCAGATTGGCTCTAGAGGTCCCCTGACATGACTCCTGCAGAGCCAGAATCTCCGGGCATTAAATATTGATCCACCAATGGTGCTGGAGTACAAAGTGCCAGAATGCAGTTTGAAATGGAAATCAGTCCTTGAATGCCTCTCCCCCCTTGGTCTGGCTTTAATAGTACATTCCATGTCAAATGTTTTATGTCTTACATGAAAAAAGCCTATTGGTGTTGAAGGCTCTGCTGTTGCTACCTGTAAAACACGCACAAATTCATTTTAACACATTTTATTCCAAAGATATGACAAAAAAAGGGACCAGTGCAAGGGATTTTCTAAACCATTTCAGTAAAACAGCTGCTCAGATTTTTTTTACCTCTGCATCCCATTTCCTACAAATGTATACAGACACCATATACAATTGTTTTATACGGAATGTATGCATTTCAGTATTTGTTTTAGTATCCCCAGACCTAACCCTGGACAACTTGAACTCTGCTAAACCTCGGGGAACGGCAGCTGGACCCGATCACACTCTCAAAGGGCTCTGGAAAGCCAAAACCAGGATGAATGGGAAAAGAAGCCAATAACCGCTTCCCTGATGTACCAGAGAAAACAAGAGCCACTGGGAAGTTGCGAGCTTGATTCATTTGATAAACTGTGCAGAATGGGACCTGATACGATTATTACATGAAAGGGGATGGACACATTCTAAGGATTCTCTACATTAATTGTAAGGATTCTCTATCCCCAGCAAGAGGAAAGCCAGTGACGTGACTGACAGCCACTAAACAAATGTGGGTGGTTAACCGAAATTCTTGCTTGAAACATGGCAGTGATGGGACCTATGTGTACACCTCCTAGGGCTGGAAGCAGTTGCTGGCCTAGAGGAGACAGTATCCAAGATGGTGGTACAAAGAGGGGGACACTCTGTCTTCACCTTCTCATCCTTACACTGTCCGGCTGGAGCTCATTTACCTCTCCCAGGGGAAAACCAGCCTTATTGTCAAAAGCTTGCAGTGATAACAGACTCCCACACTGCTTGCAGACAGACAGGGCATAGGGCAAATTTTCAGCTTGGAATTTGGAGGACGCTACTTATGGAGCTGCTCATGGTGTGTATGGGTGGGTGAGAAAAGTAGGAGAGCGGGCGGAGGTCTCCAGAGTGTAGCTGTGTTCTCCCAGAGCAGGCAGGGCATCGGCACCGTTCTCCTTCCTTCAGCAGCGCCATTTGCAGCTGCACAGTCCACGCAGTGTGCCAGCACTGCGATGCTCTTCCTCTGTGTGTGCTTCCCTAGAACAGGTAACGCGGGATTATGCTGTTCAAGCTTCCTTGAGGTCAGTAAACAGCATCTTCGAGTAAAGCAGGGCCCAGAGCATGAGTCTGAGGGCAGCTTTCTCTTTTGAGTCACTACTGATGATTTCTGAATTGCAGGAACTATTTTTTTTTTTTTCTTTAAATGAGAATAGTAAAGCCTGGAAGTGAGTCTGGGGAGAGAAACATCCCCAAAAGGTACAGTGTGCACAGAGAGAGGCGTGTGATTCACCAGCGTGTGAGCTGCGGCGCGGCAGACGCTGTGATGGCTCCCTGCTGAGGCAGCTTTGGCTCGTTGGCGGGAGGGGGATGAAGCAGGTTTGCTGGGATGCAGGGAGTGATCAGCTAATGGAAGGCCCCGTCCTCACCGGGACCAGCAAGGCGGCCCCGGGGGCCCTGCGGCCTTTTGGGGTGGGACACTTCTGGGCCTTCAGCTGTGTGGCTGCCTGCGGGGTAGGGTGAGCGGGAGACAGAGATCTAATTGTGCCGGGATGTCTGTAGTGAGAGGAGCTTACTCCTGAAAGGAAATGGTGAGAAACGACTGAGTGCTGCGCATCTAAGGGCGGAGGGAGGGGGACGCCTCGCAGGGCTGGGGAGCCTCGCCCCAACCGAGAGACACACACCCCCCGGCCCCCAGCACCCCGGCAGGGGTGGCCCTA